CCCTGTTTTAGCCAAACCAGGACACTTACCCTTTCTGTTCCAGAATTAATCAGCTTCAGAAGACAGCAGGCAATCGTGGTTGGCTCACTTGGCTTTCTGCCAAGCCAATATGATCAGAGTTATTTTTCAGCTGTCCTGCATTCAGGTTGAGACCCTGTTACAGGTTCCACTCATGTATATGGTAGATAGAACCAATGTGTTTTATCTGTGATTTTTTTTTTCACACACGGCTATAGTGTTTTAACCATGTTGCTGTCTGTGGACAGTTCCTTTGTGGCTGTTGGTAAAATTGTCTGATATAACAGCTCCATCTTGGGTTGAAAATAATTAGCTCATCTTCATGTTTCCCATGACTGCTCTAGCTTCAGTGGATGCCCCTGATGGAAACAATTCTGAAATGGAACCAGTAGTCTCTTCTAAGCGCTGAAGCTGTTCACCTTGGAAAATAAGACTGCAGACCCAACTACGGGTCCTGTGCTTGTTGGTGGTAGCATGCTGCTGTTATTTTAACAGCAGTATACCACAGACATCAAGTCTTCATGGTGACTGAATGAAACCATATTTCTCTGTGATACTGAAACTGGGGTATCTTTACATGGTATTAATCTAACAGTAAAGATATTCAATATGCCTGTTGAGTTGCATGTTGCAAAACATTTCTGTTCCCTTTCTTTGGCACAAAATTAAACATGATGGAAACTTATTCTGCAGTCTTTCATCATGAGCACCTCGGCTGGCATAGCAATTGTAGTTCCTTAAGAATAAAATATTTACACTCAGGAAGCTTGATAAAGCATAAGTCCTGTCCATCTTTTCAGACTAAAATTTTATATACAAGTCCATTGCGTTAATATACAATATAAAGAATGCACAATCTCTAGTACAGCTTTCTGCTGTGGTATTGCAGAAATGCAGTCTAATGTCTTTCTGATGACTTTTGACTTTACCTCTTTTCTCTCTTGTTTTAATTTTTCCAGTTCTTCCATGGTGGGAGTTCGGCATTAGCTTGATCAAGTCGGAATGCGTAAATCAATTTTTTTTTTTTATGCTTTCAGGACTTTGCTCCACTGATATCCTTACCACTTACTAGTACTGTGAAAGTCATGCAGTTTAATCTGTTGGGATCTTATTTTGGTTAATTTTATTTAGTCAGAGAAGCTTCTAAAAACTTCTTGATGTTACTTTAGTAGCCCTTTCTGGTTGCTTTTGATACAAGGAGGGTTAAAAAGTAATATTGCTTTATTTTCATCAGGTTTTGATCACTGAAATATTGGGTTCATTCCTTTCCATGGTGAAATCTCAGTTGTAAAATACCTACAGTAGGCATGTTCTTTTTGCAGCAGCCATACTGGTTTATATAAGGGAAACTACTGTCAGTTTTGAAAATCCAGCTTTTAGAGTGGTTTTTAATTTTGAGTGACAGTCCCACATAGTCACTGTGGCTTAATACTTCGGGGTGTGAGAAGAGCTTTGTTCTTTAGTTTGTAGGACCTCTCTGCATATAGGTTGAGTAGCTGTCATGCTGTAGCATGTGGCTGTGGCATGAAGCTAACTTTTCTCATCAGCAGTCTTGCTCTTCCCACATGCCTTTTATAAGATGCATCTTATCTTCAGACTGCACATGAAGGAAATTTTCCCAAATTCATGATGCAGTGCCTGTGTGTATTTGTGTTTTTTTCTCAGGCACCTCTCCAATACTAGGATTATGTTAGTCTTTATTATCCTAGCAGATCGGTGATAGTCTTCCTTCTGCATGATGATAGTACATCTTACAGTGCCTACAGATAATAATTTAAGACGAGGATAATAAAGTCTTGCCTAGTTCTGAAAATCTGTTGCCCCTAAGTTTTTTGGCCTTGTAATAGGAGAACTGGTCTGGTAAAATTCAAGTGAAGTAAACATGGTCAGGTAACCTCTTGAGCCAAAGGCTGGGAAGGGAAGTGAGCAAGGTGATAAGGAGAGGTGCGTGCCAGCACGATCTCTGTTAAAGTGATAAAACCTGTTTTAGTGGTGAGAAGTTTGCTTCATCTGAACACTGTTATTGAGGAAGCAGGTCTTACAGGTACCAGTAACCACTATTTTTCAGCTTTCAGTGTTTTTTCAGTAACTCATTTTTTTCAGTTATTCATTCCATGGTGATCATACAGCAATCATTGAGAGTACTTTCCCTGATGGTTAACACTGTGATTTCTGGCATAAAATTAATATGTCAAGGACTGGAATTGTACTTGCCTGGTTGGATTTGGCTTCTGTGCTAAAGGAAGCCTTTTGTTACAAGCGGTTGTCAGAGTAGTATCTGATTAATTTATATTGGCTCCTGATGTCATGGCAGAACAACTATAATTTACAGTATTTTTCATCTGAACCACAGGTTGATGAAGAAGGATTTTTGTTCTGAACTTGAAGTAGGGGGCAGGATAGGCAGCTTTGCCTCTGTCCTAGCCATTATTCAGAAGCATATGTGTGAAGGTTTAACATGATTAAAAACTTATCAGACTTAACTTTGCTGTCATAAAATAATAGGGGAATCCTTTATTCACAAAGACTAATAAACTGAACATTTTAATTTGGATTTAGGGGACTGTGTCCGGTCTTGCCTTGGGAACTTGTAGTGCCCATTACTGTATGTCATGTACTGCTTTTACTTCTTGGAACATGTTTTAGTTGTGGGGGAAAGATCCTGTTTAGCAGCCCTTTCAGGAAGCGTACTGCTCCAGTTTCTTAGGATCGCTTTCTTCACTTTCCAGTTTGTGGGCTGCCACTTGTCACAATTTCCTCATGCGAAGGAGAAAGTATACCTGAAGTAGTTGGTAATGTTTTCCGTTAGATGGATTTGTTCTTGTTATCTTTGTTTTGTCATAGAGTGATCTACTAGGCCTTGGTAATTCATGAGAAGTTGCTGTTTCCACATTTTTTTCCTTGTTGGCATGTTAGGCAGTGATAAAGGCTGCTCCTCTTCTTGTTTTTATTTTCTCTTACTGCATGTTGTGGGTGATTTTAATTATTTAGGTAACCATTGATTTGCCTGTTCTTCAGCATTTTCTTTTGCATCTGATTGAAACAACACACATGCTCCCAGGGCTCGTATTTATAAGTTGGTTCTGATGCAGATGAAGGTTCACCCTGGCTAGCAAAATTGCAAAGCATGTGTGCATTTCTGGTTCCTCTTTGTCTGCCATGGCTTATGATCAGCATTTCATTTTTAAACAAAGGCAATTGAAAAATTATTCCTTTTGACTATATCTGCTCAAATACTAAAGCTGCATACAGTACAAAAATACAGATATTCAGTGTAAATTTGCGCTTTGTTCTTTAAATTACTGAAAGTGTCGAAAACATGAGGGCTTTTCTGAACTGTGTGTGTTTTGTAGCTGTGTTCTGAATCTGTCACAGAATCAGTGGCTTGCTAGCTGCCATCTTGGTGAACTGTTTGAGGTATCTGACTTCACAAGTGTAGTGGCAGAGTAACGCAGTACCATGATAGTGACACATTACTGAATTTTGTTTGGTTTTAAAATATGTTATTAGTTATATTCTCTATAGATATCCCTTCTGTTCAGCAACTTTAGCCATGATTATGTTGTTACTGTTTTAGATTAAATGTTACTTGATCCTATGGGTTTTTTTAAATATTAAATGTGTACATGGAACTTCTGGAGTGCTTTCCAAGCCCTTAACAGTTGTGTAGGTGTAATGCATAAGTGCCTTATATTTTCTAGCTGGTGGAACTGTGGGGAAAATATGATTGTCTTGTGTGGAGCCAAAAGGGAAGAATAGAGTATCGAAAAATCACTATTCCTTGTTTACATTTTTGTAGACTGGTCTATGTAGTACTTTAGACAACAAACATCAGGGTCTTGGTAGGGCGAATTAACAAATATATGCATACTAAATAGCTAGTGAAGTCAAGAAAAGGAAATTTAACCTTTATTTCCTTTGCTTGCTTTAATAGTTGTTACTCAACCAAGCCCATCAGTTTCTCAGCCTAGTACTTCACAGAGTGAAGAGAGAGCTCCTGAACTGCCCAAACCAAAGAAGAACAGATGTTTCATGTGCAGAAAGAAGGTTGGCCTTACAGGTATGAGAACATTTTGTCAATTTTGAACAGATCTGTATGATTTGTTGTCTCTTGCTAGATTAAACTTGATGAAATGTCTGTACCATTAATCTTACGTGCTTCTTCGGAATCCAGACAATGTAGTACAGCTGTTCATTTTTCTTTGTATGTCAGACTAGATGAACATACTCCCTTTACAGTGACTAAGTGCTTAATTTACAACTTAATTAAATATGAAGCTTCCTAGTGATGTTGCTTCTTTTTCTACATATACAGGATTTGACTGCCGATGTGGAAACTTATTTTGTGGACTTCACCGTTATTCTGACAAGCATAACTGCCCGTATGATTACAAAGCAGAAGCTGCAGCAAAAATCAGGAAAGAGAATCCAGTTGTGGTGGCTGAAAAAATCCAGAGAATATAAATTAACCTGCCTGTGAAAAGACTGACTGACTTTTTGTTTTGTTTCTAAAACGTCCTAGGAAAACACGAAAGAGCAGGTGCATGGCCATTTTTCTTCAAAGTTTTACTTTTTAGTCTTGTCTGTCTTAATGGTATTTCAGAATGTTTGGGTGTTTGTTACAGGCAGAATTGGATATTATACAGGCAGCCCTTGGAAATATGTATGCCCTCCCCAGAATATAATTGGATGATCAGAAACCTGCACAGGAATACGCATGCACAGAGAACAGACTCTCTAGTTCACATGTGCCAAACGGATGTATGCTATCTGCATGTTTGCAGCAGATCTGCCTTTTGAGATATGTTTGAGGTATATAATCTTCGGCTAGTGTTATGTGCCTGTTTTGGAGAAGGATACATCAAAAATGTTGGCAGTCTACTTCTTTCATTTGAAATCTCATTTTAATTTTAATTTCCACACTCCATTTTTTTCCAGCAGAATGTAAGCTATGTAGAGGGGTCCACTATCCCAGTAAGATGAGTGTTGATGCTATACTTAAGAAAGTCACTTACCAATTGCTCTGAGAAAAATGGAAAAAATCAGATACATATGAGAAGAAAATTGGTTTGGAAAAGATTACATTAACTTTAGAATCGTGAGAATAGGTTCCCAAAGGAAATATCCTTCTAGGAACTTACGACTGACCTGCAACAGAGTTGTCTGCTTTTCCTTGCATAGCTGAAAAGATTGTGTAGCACAATATTGTAAGATTGGTTTACAAAAAAAGTTAAATATGTTTTTAGACATACCACAGCAGCTCTATCAAGCAACGTGTGGATGAGTAAGTTGCTGAAGTACTAGAGCAGTTTGTTACTCATACTACTTATGTTCTGTGTGTTCTGAGTTCAAAAGAATAACAGGAGTTAATTTTTTTCTAGTTTTAAATGTAACAGTTGCACCATTCTGCATGGAAAACCATACCCAACACAGCTGCTGTAGACTTCAGTGGTAGCTGGAACCATTCTTGGAGGGCTGCTTAATCATTTCTAATTGTACTTGGGTGTAGGACTGTAGTGTTCTTGGGTGTATTGCATGGGCTGCATTATCTACAGCATTGTACAATAACAACTCTAGAAAAGGCGGTATACTTCACTGATGCTTGTCTGGTAATATCACTTCTGTGTTATAATGGAAGGTTTTTTTGTGATGTATGAAACTTGTGGTTTTTATATAAACAAGTACAGTTTAGACTAGTGTTGTGGTAATGCCTGTTCTCATCTGTAAATAGTTACGTATGTACACAAGGCGCTAGTCCTGAACTTCCAGTTTTTATTGCAGTGTTCAGTCTTAGTTTTTACTCCTCTATTAAAAGCATCAGGTTTTCGCTTCTAACTTTGGTTTTCTGAGTTATTAGATATGCAAACATGTACAGATAGTTCATATTTATGTATTGCACATAATCATGCTACCCAGCATCTATGCTATATTGTATTATGTAAATAATAAAAATCATGTACAGAAGGAAATACTTCCTTTTGTGATAGTTCATTGATTTTAGTTGTTGGTGTAATCAGAAGGTGACCTTGTAGAGGTTGAAGTGGAAAGTTACTACTAAATTCTTAAGATGTCTTTATGCTTAAGCCTGCCTATATGCTTGTTTAATTGTTTGGATATATCAATGTCTTTTAATGTAACTTGCATGAGCAGCTGGAATGCAGATAACTACTTGATGGCCTGACAAAAATGCCAGCAAACAACAATGTGCTTAAAGGGAGCAAAAGAAAGCATTAGCAGTGAACTTCAAAGGCTTTTTTCATTTGCCTACAAAAGTTATTTCCAGTGGATCTGTTAAAACAGAGATCTGTTATGCACTCTCTACACCATTCTGTCCACATCTTCACCAGTAGACCTGGGCAGAGTTATTGTCAGGGTCAGCACTCAAATACAGATGTTAAATATGCCAGATTTATCCTTCCCAGTGAGGAGGAAGAGGACAGAGCACACAGCACATGTTGCCTTGGAGGAAGACATCTTTGCTGCTGGATAATGCATAAAAATTGCTTATATCAGAAATGGATAATGTGCATCCCACCAGTCAGCTGATGCTCACGTGATAAGTTACTACTACAACCACTGTATATACCTCCAATAAGGGTATACAGGCATGCTCTGGGACTTCATTTTCCAGGATTAATTTTATGACTTAATCATGGAACTGCTTTAAAGCACCAAAGTTGCCATTTTTCTACTTTTCATATTAAAGTGAAATCAGCTACTCTACTGCAGCATAAAATGCTTTGCTTTTTTTTTGTCTTTTGAACATGAGAATGCCATGTAACTTGATATTTGAGGAGAATGTGTCTGGTTTTGATACTGTCATGCCTAGAATTTTTTAGGACATGTAATAGTACTGCTACTGGTAGTTAATGATTATGATGGTCTCAATCTTACAGTCTGCTTTTTCATCTGAACAAAGGCTTTACTTGGGAAGACTTGTTGAAATAATTGATCTCAGTAGCTCTGTGGAGGGAAGTATGGAATGAAAAATCCATCATTGTCCTGTAAAATCATAAATGTATCATATGTAAATTGCCTGCAAGTGGAGTATGAGCCTGTACTCACAAGTAAGTCTGCAAGCTCCTCTGAGCTTTATTCTTTTAATAATTTATGTAGTGTCTATAAACATTCAGGAGCCCTAATTCTGTTGAGGCTCACTAAACCCTCAAAGGAGAGGAAGGTTGTTTAAAAAGAGCAGGTATTGAAGTGTGCGGGGGAAGAGTAATTAAACTTAGATGCAAACACTGTGGTATGTCTTCCAAGAAAGAAACATGATTGCTTCACGTGACACTGATCCTCATTTAACTTTTGACTGTTAGACTGAGATGTTCTTAACTTACACATAAACACACTGTTCTGAGAAGAGTCTTCCTCTGTCCCGAACAAGTTTACCAGATGATGGGGTGTTTTTTTAGTTAGGGAACAAAAAGGAACATACAAACAACTGAGGAAATGAAAGCAGCTAGGTGACTAAAAGCTGGTAATCTTCAGTCTGTGAATTACTTGCCTAGCTAGTGTTACGGCTGTGCAATACTGTGTTCCACAGGATTCTGTGCAAACTTACTGATAGCTGTTACTGTTGAACCTGAAATCTGGAGTATAACGATGAGCTTCCTGTGGTGTTTCCAACCTGTTGCTGCAAGGCTGATGAGCTTCTAGTTGACTTGGTTGGTTGTGGTGCAGAAGGATGCAATGGGGTTGAGAAGCCCTGACTATCCTCCTGGTATTTAGCCCTTTGAAAACATGCTTCTGATAATCGGTAGCTCTGCTGTGTGTTTTGGAAGGTCGTTGTTCACAAGTGTAAGGGCATGTCTTAGACATGTGCTTGTATTTGTCATGTCTCAGCCTCAGTCACTCAAAAGGATACTTAATAAGGCTCTGACTCGTGTTTGGTGTCTATAATGAGTCAAAATGCATGTCAGTTTCACAGTGTTCCTAAGCAGCTCTAGGGTATCACCTGATTCATATGCTTGAAGGAGGAAATGCATAGCAAACAAGGACATCAGTTTGTTCCAGCTATCTGGGTGTGTTAAGTAGGAATGATTTGGTAAGAAAAGGAACTTTTGTGTGGATGCATGTTTTATTAGTGTCTCAGCCATCCAAACAATGAAAATGCATTTTCTCACAAATGACTTGTTACTGACTCCCTTGGTCTTTTTCGTAATTAAATTTAAACAGCCAGGAAATTTGATGGACTGTGCTCTGATTCAGGAGACACAAAGGGTTCTGGCAGTACACCTGAAAGTACCTGGATGCCATTGGAATTAATAAATGAGAAACCAAAACAATTAACTGAGGGGAACAGTTAGAAAACCCGAGCTGGAAAAATAATGAGAGTGACTACCTGTGGAATTGTTAAAACATAGTCCAGAAGCAAAGTTCTCTCTGTGAGTGCAGTGAGGATTAGTTATCACCACAGTGAGGTCAATTTTCTAACAGAAGAGAGTTTTAAATGCCATTTCAGGGCCCTGAGTTACCCCTTAATCTGCTGTAAACACTTCCACAGAATGTGCTTCAGCCTTTAAATTGCCCATTGTAGTAGTAATTTAGTGATGGCCAAAACAAAAACAGGGTGGGGTGGATGGTTTGGGGGTTTTTTTGCTAGACTGAAGAAATTACAGAGACCATTTCTAGTTGAAAGAGCACATCAGCACAGCGAAATAGAACCAAGGACCAGATTTCTGACTTGTATGAAAAATTGAATTCAGCGGAAGAAGCAAGTCTTGGCGTGTGGGATGCAAAACAGCAGAGTATCAGCAGGCTGTGATTTAAATTAAATGAAAATAGAGGTGTAAAACTGTTAAAGATGGCAGCACTGAAATAAATGCAAGAATCAACACCTACAACAGCAATGCAAACCATGTGACTTGCCTGCTTATTTGTGTAAATACAAATCTGTACCATTTAAAAAAAAAATGTTGATTATTGAAATAACTAGAAGTCACAGGTTCCTGAAGAAGCTGTGTCTTACTCTTACCTTTTGTACTTGGATGTCAAGATGTAGATGACAGATTTTGGTTTCTTAGTGCCAATTGCATTTCAGTGTGTGTTTCTCTCCTGTAAGCTTGTGGCCAGTATTGTAGCAATGTTTGAAGTTGGGTGTGAATGTTACTTTGGCTCAAGCCCCCTAAGATACCTGTATGTTTACTAAACCTCCTTGTAGTCCTGTTTTTTTTCTCCTTGTATCTGGAACCAGCTCACAGCATTTATTCCCAAGTAGCAATAAGCCTCATTATCACAAACTGAAGTTTATTCATTATGGAAAGAAAATAAAAAATAAGTCAATTATATCTACTGTTGCACCTGATGAAAAGCGTGCAGGGTAGACTGTATTCTGTAATTAGTCCTGGCCCAATGCAGGTCAAGTCTTGCATTTAACTGACCGTACAGGCACCTGAGAGGGTTGTAGGGTGAAGTGCCTCCCTCTCTGCACACGTTTCACAGTGAGGGGAATTTCCAGAGCC